GACAATCATCTTTGTCGATGACATAATTCTCTCTGATCTCAATATTAACAAATTAGAATATATATTTATTAAAAAAAAATCTAATTTCCATATATTTAAAATTGTTTATTTCTAAACACAAAATTATATTAAATTAACAATATTTCTGAAATCCTATTATCGAATAATATATAAATTCATATTTTTTTCTTCATCAGAAATATTGTTTTTCTCAATTGAATTTCCAAACGGAAGTGTATAACGGAACCAACGTCAGAACCATATATAAATAAATATGTGTTGTGTAACAACTTATTATTATTAATTTTCCTCGATCATAAATTATCAATTGCCCTTTGGAAAAACTTAAAAATACGATCTCTTGTGAGAAGCAGGTAAATTTATAAAAACAAGATTGTGACAAGCATTATAACTATCGACTGCACAAAAAAAAATCTTACAAGAACATAACGATTTTAGTATACATGCACATTAATTTTTCAAATATTCCCAGTAAATGACGTAAAATGATATCTTATATGATAATATTAGTGCAACCTTCTACTTCATTCTAATTTCTCTTCACAGCTTGTGTAACTTAGCATTTGAAATTAAAAGAAAAAATTTATCAATAATTTTACATTCAATTAAATAAATCGCAATATTTTCATTTCTATCACACAAAACGCGCGTAGTGATTAATAAACCCTTCGCAGAAAATCTGATATTGAAAAAACACTCTTGAAATATTCACAATTATTATTCTGATAAAATTTTCAAATATATGTAAATAATATTCGAATATTATGTAAAAAATTGCTGTTTCTTTACATAAAAGTTAATATAAGTTTTCTTTCAGTTCAATTAAAAAAAAATAGTACCAACTTGTTTAGAAATCTTTATCGAAAAAAATTTGTCATAAAAAAAATTGCATTTGCTATTATAAAAATATTGCATTTAACAATTTTTTTTTTGCCAACAATTTATAAGAACTCAGAACTATTCTAATATATATATTGTAAAAAGCTTCAAAATATTAGAAAAATATAATATTAATATTTAATTAAAATATTCAATTTTATTACTTAAATTTAACTTTCTATTACAAAAAAAAAAAATTTCTTCACTTGAGTGAGTAAAAAATATTACTAAATAATCGAAAGTTTAATTTAACTTTGTTTAAATGCAGCATTAAAATAAATAAAAAAAAAAAAAAAAAAAAAAACTCGATAAATATATTTATATATCAGGAACTAACCGCATTCTGAAAAGTAGCGTGAAAAGCAAAGAAATGGAAAAATAAGGTTTCGCGCATAATTTTCCGCACACAAACAATATTATATATTTTCTCAAGAACGGAACGCTAAATCGGTAACTCACTTTGAATCGTTTCTTTCCGACCCTTCCGCGTGTAGATGGAAATATTATATATTTAAGTGTTTTACTCATTGCACGCACGATATATCTCGTGCTATGCATAAATGTAACCAAACAATTTTCAGAGTTCTCTCATAACGCTATATAGAGCCGCAGTCAAGTGAATCATTGCATTTGGCGCAAAATTCAGCAATAAATTAATTATTTTTTTTTTTAATTGTTGAATATAGAAAACCTAGAATTTTCAATTTTTTTTATTTAATTTCAAGGTCGTACTCTATTTAATCCTAAACTAATATATTAATTTATCAAGAAAAACAAAATTCTTAAAATTTACCATTCAAAGTAAGAATAATATATTCTATATACAAAATTAGAATATATATTTTAAATACTATACCGAATTTAAGAATAAATGCCAAACTATTTGAAATATATTAATTTTAATTCTAAATTTTTTTTTTGTATAAACATACATAATAAAATTTTTCAAACATTAATCAAAGTAAAAAAAAAATATTCTTAAATTGAAACTAAACCTATTTAGAATATTTTTTTTACACTTTTGATTATATATTAATTTTTTAAAAAATATAATTCAATAGAAATTTAAAAAAAAAATTATTTTTGAAAAAAACCATTTTTTATTTTGAATCCGAAGAGTTTCGTTTGTTTGAGAGTTGAAAAACCTTTGTTATATATATGTTTATACACAATAATAGTTTTATATAGTGACACGTGAGTTGACGCACGAGTTTCCGGCCGTATATCTGCTTCTCTCACGCGTAAGTACTTGTTGCAAGAAGATGAAATAGGTCAGTTTTTACATTACGATAGCATTTTCTTGCGTTATGCCATATGACTATTAAAACCATACATAATTCATGTCAACACTCACTTATATGTATATATATATATATACACGCCTTCATCTCAAATTCTCAATATAAAAATATGACATCTCCTCATTCGTGTAATTGTATTTATATACATATAAGTGTAATGCAAATCTTATAAATGACGATTTATCTAATATATCAGTTTGAAAATGACATGGCATTGCTTTTCTGCTTTGAACCTTATATTCATATATGTTGACGCAATCATCGTCTCTTTCTCCATATCTCGCGAGTATTTTGACACGAGAATACTTGATTAATTATGCAATAAGAATAGTTTACAAAGATGCAACAAATTTAATTTTAATTTTTTTTTTAAATGTTACTCTAATTTTTTTTTTCCTTCTATAAATAACGTAGAAATTTTACTGCCTCTATTATATTTTATAATATGAAAAGATGGGAAAAATATTAATATTATAAAATTATCTTTGTTATAAAGAATAATTTCTTCAAAATATTCTACATTTTCACGGAGAGAAGAGATTAACGTCAGTGAAACACGTAAATTCCGTTTCAAAAAAGTATATCCCTCCTCCTTATTTCTCTTAGTCATTAAAACAACTCTCTAAATCTGAATTAGTAAAAATGTTTACTAATTTGAATTAGTGACTCACTTTTTGCTTCTGAATTAGTAAAATTTTACTAATTCTAAAGCAAAAAGTGAGTCACTAATTTACATTAGTAAACATTTTTACTAATTCAGATTTAGAGAGAAGAAGCCTTTTCTTTATTTGCGATAGATTTATTTGAATTGTTTATTATCAACAATTAAAAATTATTTTTAAAAATAACAAACAAAAATAATTAATAATAAGTCGTTAAAAAAAAAAAAAAAACTAAGAATCAACCCCCCTTCAACTGTAATTTTCTATTAAGAAATAAAATAATTACTTCTATTTTATTTCTCAATTATTAAATGTTTACGTTTATTATGTAATTCTAAAAATAATCTCGAAATTTTTCTGAAATTCGTATATATTTCACCAGAGGGGTTTTTTTTTAAAAAAAAGAAAAGAAAAAAAAATCCTTTTTTTTTTCCTGCGATGAGAAGACACGCGAGATCTTTCGAACTCAGAGAGAGAGAGATAGAGAGAGAGAGGAGAGTCAGTAAATCGGTAGGTTGGTACATTGAAAGGTAGAGAGAGGAGAGATAGTTAATCGTTCCGCGCAAGTTAAACAGGTACTCTTTATTGTTTGGATTTTGCCGCACGTCGGTATTACGTTGCACTTTTAATTCTAAAATCGTAACTCCTCTATAATTATGGCCAACTCGCTAAACTCTCTCGCTCCTTTAAATCTTTTGTTTGGACAGGCAAAAGGATCGTTGTGAAACAAACTTAGAATGGAATTTCTAAAAATAAACGCATGCGAACAAATATATTTACACGCGGTGCATTTTTCATATATTCTAAACTATACACATATATATAAATATATTCATTCTATATTATATATATAGTACACAAAAGAAGATAAAAATCCTTTTTGATAATTTCTTGCCGCGCATTTTTAAGATTTCAAAAAAAAAATCTCATTCTTGATAATTAAAACTAGTGTGTTGAATGATTCACAGAAAAATAAAAGGCATTAAAATAAGCTGCAACGCTTATTATTTTAATCCAATTTTGCTTATTTTAATACCAAAATGGATTAAAATAAGCAAAATTGGATTAAAATAATAAGCGTTGCAGCTTATTTTAATGCCTTTTAATTTTCTGTGTTAACGATTTTAGTTCAACGTTTACAATTGGTAATTATTAAATTATTTGTTTAAAGTAGTAAAAGAAAAAAAAAATACAATAAAATGTTATACACACTGTAAAAAGAATAAGGTACTAAAATATGTACCGATTTTAGGTATTAAAATAGAACCAAAAGGCAATTTAGTACCTAAAGTTGGTATTAAATTAATACACAGAAAATTAAAAGGCATTAAAATAAGCTGCAACGCTTATTATTTTAATCCAATTTTACTTACTTTAATCCATTTTGGTCCAAAATTGGATTAAAATAATAAGCGTTGCAGCTTATTTTAATACCTTATAACTTTCTGTGTACCTCTCGTTTTACAGTGCATGAAACAATTTGCATCATTCAACATCACGAACTAGATTTAAATAAAGAAAAATTTATTTTAATTATTAATTATTATAACAATTTCCAAGAGTTAAAACACATTTTATGAATATATATATATATATAAGTATTACTTAACATCGTATTATAAACCATGTGAATTGAAATCGAGGTGTGTGTGTGTATTTTTTTTTTTTATTTTTAGTTGATCGCTTTCGATGGCGATCACGTGACGTCGTCGCGATGCAGCGTTCGATAGTTGATGCAACCACAGAGCGAGTTTACAGGCAAATAGCCAATATAATTTATATTTCTTTACACAAGTTTTGTAAAAAAAAAAAAGAGAAAAAAAAAAACAAGAACTCTTCGCGGATCCGCATAAACCGGAAGAAACATACCGCGGCATCTAAAACCTTGCTCTCTCGCACTTATCGAATAATTATAACAGATTATCAACACAAAAAAAAAATTCTCTCGACATCAAAAAAAAAAATCAATAAAATAATATAAATTATTTTTTTTTAATTCAAAAATCAACTATCATCAGGAATAACACGCGGGGGGTCTTGCCTTCAATGGGGGGGAAGTGAGGGTCTGGCAGGAGCGCGAGATCCGATTGGTTCGCGCCTCGGCCATATTATAAGCGGCTGCAGTCCGCGCTAGTTAATGTTAGCTCGAACCTCCACAAGAGACGCATCTCTGATCGTATATATATATAAATTTATACTTGATCGAAAGTATTGTATTGCAAGTTAAGTTCTCTTTAATACAATTTTTCTTGTGTTATACATTGTTCCTCACAAAGTTAAACGTGTGATTTATCTCTCTATATATATCAATACGTGTGTCGCGTTTCTAAAAAAAAAAAAGTTCGCGAGTTGTGTGTTCAGTGTTAGTGTTTCAAGAAATCGCGTCACTAAAAATCAACATTTTCCAAGCGAAAAATAAAAGGAGGATCTACTTTTGTTGATCGTTAAAAGAAGCAGGAACCAAGTTCCGAAAACGGAAAAGAAATAACCGAAAAAGTAAGTGGAGCACGTGCCATCCTCATTACACTCAATAGAGAGAAAAGAGAAGCTTTTATCTCATATCGTGCGTTGAGCTTGACAAGAATCAAAAAAAAGAACCGTCAACTTTTAATTTTACATTATTTTAAAATATATTTTCAATATATTATTTTTTTAATATTATATTTTAAAACAAATTTTTTTTCCGGAATTTATTTTCAATTTTTATTAGATAAAAAAAAATAATTTCATTTCGTTGTCTGTTTTACTCGACCCCGTATATCTAAACAGTTGTCCGTTATGATTCGCTCGCCTTTCTTGCCCCAGGATACGTGACCGAGAAATATACCTGCTAATGCCAGGTGTATTTGAAAAGAATTGAAAAACATATTCAATTGAATTTATTAATTCGTCTAAACAAAAATTCTTCCTCTAATTTATTGAAACAATATAATCTCCTTTATCTACACTGTAAAACGAAAGGTATTAATTTAATACCAACTTTAGGTACTAAATTGTTATTTGGTTCTATTTTGATACCTAAAATCGGTACTGTTTTAGTACCTTCTTTTTACAGTGTATAAAGATGTGAAAACTACGTCGTTTTTTTTTTCAAAATAAACTCGCGAGTCTTTTTGGCAAAAAATCTAATATAACCGGATATTTCAGTTCAATAGAGGAGGCGGCTAAAAGAGTCCCACACACCACTTGGATTGAAAACAAAATTGGCGGTTTAACAGGAAACATTTAGCAGAGCGAGTTGACAAGTTGACGTCTGTTTTGTCTGGGTCGTTTCTCCTTTGAGAGAGAGCCGCTCTCATCTCTTTCGTATAAAAAAAAAGAGAAACATTTTCTATTTTGCAAAGTTAATACAGAAACTCGGATTTATCGATTGGAAACTTAAATTAGAAAAATGAAACTTCACAAATCCTTTGCGACATCTTTAATAATATTATAGATATTTCACATAGAAATTGGATACCTTATTCTGAGAGAGAGATAAGTATTAGAAGCGATAAGGTATATAGAACGAGGAAAGAAGATATTCATGAGAATATTTGCGAGGGGTTGAAAATGAAGAAGAAAAAAAATTAGGTATAGGAAAAAAAAAGAGATGAGAAAGAGAGAGATATATCTATTTTTAGACTTCATTCAGAGAATCTTTAGCACAAGCAAGGTCCAAACGTTGGTTGACTCGTGCTCGTATTTCTGCGACTATACTCTCTCATATATACACGTGCTGACACAAACAATGGCTTCTGTACCTTGCTATTAAAGCACACACGAGTCCAAGACCTTCTCGCCTCTTTTTTTTTTTTTTTGCATGTATATAGCATATATATAATAGATCACAATCTTTCTCTCTGGCCTAACCGACTATACTAGGAAACGATACAGGTGGGGCCGAACCACCAACCATGACACCTGTGGCATGCCTTTCAACAAAGTCATTCACCGACATCAACCATATATATAAAACAGAATCTCACGAATTATTATTTATCATTTATCTCTCAAGGTGCCGATTACAATTACGAAACTTATTCTACTATATCATATTTACAATATCATGCACTTTTTTCAACTACGTAATTTATTGCATTATACACAGTATACCTTATCAAAACGATTAGTTACAAATAAATATTGATACAAATGATAACATAAAGGGCAATTTTCTCAGCATTTGGAAAGGTTGCGCGTTTTAATAAACACTTTTTTAAAAAAAAAGATAAGATTCATTGTTGGAAATTAGTTCAAACTAGTCTATATATAATGATAAGAGTACAATTAAATTAAATTCATGCTGAGCGAACCACGTGCGTTAGGGGATAAAATAAAAAAGGGATAAAATAAAGAGATAAGTGATGGGGAATTATTATATGGTTGGTGAAATTTGGCGGGGGCAAAAAAAAAAAAAAACAAGTCTAACCACTACTCTTTCCACGTAACAACCTATTTTTGGAAACAATCAATTAAGTCGAGCACATCGACGCCCTCGAATGGTTCCCAGAAGCCTCGAGCATCTGTCGGTATTTTTAAAGCGAGTGCAGACTGGTGCGCTTTCACGTTTGTTGCACTCTCTTAAGACGATCCTCCTCCCTTTCCTCACTCTTTTCTCTCTTTTTCTTTCTCAAAGTGATCTCCTCACGTACACACCGTTGCCTTCAAGATTCGCCATAAGCGTTGTACATCGCTCCTATCATGGGTTTGTGCCACTTGAAAACGAATAAAAATCAACACACAGACTCTTCATCTCATGGAAAAACTTTCGATCAAGGACGCGAATAAATTCTCAAGTTTCTTTTTTCTTTCTCAATACGATAAAAAATAATTTGATTCCCCCTCAAAAAAAAAAACACCTCAATTTGTCAAAAAAAAATGACAATAAATTTGCGTGATGTGTAATATAACTGCGCCAAATGTGTCTGTCTAAAGAGAATGGTGTTGACGCATTAAGAGATGATATTTCATCATCATTCATCTCTTAACTTCTTCAAAGAATGAAGAGACGGGAAAAATAGAGACTTTTCAACTGAACACGTATACATATATACGTCATACAGTGACTTATTTCTGTTTCTTCTGTTAGTTAAAATTTCATTTCAAAAATATACATTTCAATGATGTATGTATATATACAAGTTTTAAAATTATAGCTCTCAATAATCTGATTTCTTCCTGTTTTCATCAATATAAAGATGAAAGAAGAAGAAGAAGAAGAAGAAGAAGAAGAAGAAGAAGAAGAAGAAGAAGAAGAAGTAGAAGAGGAAGAAAAAGGTTGATGATCTTTAACTCTACGGGAATTTTCAAAAATAGTCATCCGACAAAGATATGATGTATCGAGACTTTTAAACGATTCTCATAAATATCAGCAATATTCAATCAGACAAGAATTCAAAGAAAATTATTTTCTCTTCACGATTGAATTAAGAAGAAGAAGAACAAGTCAAATACGGAAAGAAAATATTTTAAAAAATTTCTACTAAATATTTTAGAGAAAACGTATAAAAATATAAAATATTGATATATACGAAAAAAGTAACTTTTACTACTTTTTTCTCTACACTGTAAAAAAAAAGGAGTTAAATTTCAACTCCCTAGGGGATGCTATAAAAGTCCCACCCTTTTGGAGTTGAAGCGTAGGGAGTTAATGCTTTGCGAGTTAATTTTATGCCTAGGGAGTTAGTTTTAAGGAGTTAATTTAATTATTAACTCCCTTGTTGAGTTGATTTTTAACTCCCAACTCTTGGTGCCGTTAGCTCCCTAATTTTTTTACAGTGTACCTATAAAAATTTATTATATAATTTCTTTAAAGAAAATTTCAAATTTAAAATAAAAATATAAAATAATTTCTACAATAATTGAAACAGAATTGAAATCAAATCAAAAAAAAAAATGATGAAAGGTAAAGAAAAGACTATGGGCTCGGCTACGGTTTTCTCGTGTAAACGCGAACTGGTAGGACGCCAAGCTGTCTGCCGGAACGTGAATTCCCCACCACGCGAGCATGTGGCGGCATTGCTCCGCTTGTATCTGTGTATGCGAAGGTGGTAGTGGGTATCTACTGCTGCAGCAGCAGTTACCATCACAGCGCCCAAAGCAGCATATATATTACAATACCAATAACTCAACAACAGAGCCAGTTTTGTCCTACATACACACACACAAATAAATAAATAAATAAATATAGAGAAGTATTTTCTTTAAAGCTCCACGCTAACTATATATAACCAATGGTTAACTCAGATCGTTGTACACTTGTGCCTTTCTACATGACACTGCTTGAAAAGAAAAAAAATTAAAAAAAAAAACAAAGGGCTCTCTGTATGTTGGTCGCGCCCACCAAGTTTCTTCTCTCTTGGCTCGCGGAGATTTTATCCTTGGATCTCTCCTCCGCGACGACACGACCTCGTCAACGTTTCGATCGACATTTTTATTCTCGCGCGCGATCAAGTTCGTTGACATTCATCGCCTCATCTCTTTTTTTTTCCCAATGAAATCAACTAATAATTTATAGGACATTCCTAACACCAGTTAATTTATTATACCTTCTCTATTAAAATTTAAATCTTAATTCCATATGATTTAGTAGGTTATAAAAATAAAAAAATTCTGCTTGAGAAAACTTTTTGACTTTTTTCGAAATAAAAACAAACGACTTAATCAGGGTCGAAAATTAACTATAAACAAGTTCTTCTAACGAATCTCAAGTTTTAATATCAATACAGGGAAGATTATACACATATATATATATATATACCTAATATGAGTTCTGTGTGCGGCACACCTGTTGATTATTCGCTTTATGGATGTGTGCATAAGTGGATGGAACTTTTCAAGAATATTATATGCACACTAATAAATCTCTCTCTTTCTCTCTCATTCCCGGTTTCATATGATCCCAGTATAAATATAACTACAATCAGAAATATCCAATTCTACACCTGATTATAAATCGAGCAGCCAAAATAATATCAATTTTTTTTTTTTATATAAAAATTGATTTATTTCATTTTATCACATTCAATTGAACCACACATCTGCATTAATATTTAAAAACATTTTTGAAATTATTCAAAGAAAACTTGAGAAAATTTCAAAATTATAAAATAATTTTGCCTACTCTCTAAATCTGAATTAGTAAAAATGTTTACTAATTTAAATTAGTGACTCACTTTTTGCTTTAGAATTAGTTAAATTTTACTAATTGTTAGTAAAAGTTACTAATAATTAAAAAAAATTTTACTAATTGAGAAGCAAAAAATGAGTCACTAATTCAAATTAGTAAATTTTTTTACTAATTCAGATTTAGAGAGTAAATGAAGAATAGTAAATTTATTAAATATAATATGACGCTCCACGGTGAAAGGGTGCTTAGCTGTTTTTGACAGAAATAAACTTTGCAGGAAAAATAAATAAAAGCGATTAGTTTTCGGTACAAACTATATTATTATTTAATTATTTATTAGATGCAATATTTTCAGTAAAAAATGCTTTTGATGTTAAATAATCAA